TGTCAAAGCAGCGTAGTGGGGGGGAAGTCCTTAAATACTCGAGTGCTCACTCGGGGTGAGGGGTAGCTCCTCAGCTGTACTCCAAAGTTGACTGGCTTTACCGAGTGGTCTGAGAAGGAGATTTTACCCGGTAGATCGAGGACAGAGGCGATTCCAAAGTTGCCTGAAGTAGTGAAGGCTTCGAACGCAGCAGGCGCTGCCCTCCGAGGCATGGCTGTTCTGGCAGGACTGCGTCCTCCGGAGAGGACTTGGGCTGGCGTGCCGGTCTTTGCACTCGCACAAGGCCAGCGCTCACGTGCTGCAGTCGTGAGGGCCACATGCGTTGCTAGCTAGGCAGCGTCCCGTTATTTGAAATGCGACACAAAGAAGTAACAAGGTGAAGGGCCCTGAAAGAAGACTGAAGGTACGGGGGGAGAATTTCAAAAAGATCACATGATTTAGTGGCACACAAAAAAAGGAAGAGGAGGGGACCTACCCATTTTGTTTAAAAAATCAGCTGATTACATAAAACCACCCCAGTCCGTACTCAAACACTCCTGGTTATCAATTGATGGCTGGTCTCTTGCAGCTGCAGTAGCATGGGTAAGTAGAGAAGAAGGTCTTGAAGGAAGAGAAAACTATGGTGATGTACATCAGTTGTCCAGGCTGGCTGTGAGCTTGTGCTTCCGGCTGAGGAGAGCTGACTCTGTTACTCAGGTGTAACAGCGGTTCATGTAGCAGAGCTAGTTTTAACCGACTAGCTTGGGTACTAAATGGTACAGTGAGAGCAGCGTGAGGTTTCATGCAAGCTACAAACTTGCCTGAGAAACTGGGCAAAGACCCAGGCACTGAGCCCCGGGTAGCCAGGACTGTACTGGTAGGAGTTCCTAGTTGGCAGCTGGCTCTGGTATGTCTCCACTGCTCTGGCGGCAGTGTGGCCATGCAGTGAGAAGCACTCCTGCTCACTGCGTGCCATTATGTTGATGGTGTCATGTCATCTGTTCCCTGCAGGAGCCTGGGATTGCTGTGCAGAGCGATGGGATAAGCAAGGAATTCATTGTTTCCGTTTTTGCAGCCTTTTGACTTCTGTTTTGAATTGTATCAAAAATGTGTCTTTTGCAAAGCCACCCAATCTTTTAAAACAAAATGCAAACAAAGCTAGGAAACAAAAGGTAAGTGCAGAGCTACCCCATTTTCCGCAGGTTAGCTCCCCACCCTTATGAGGATCTAGGATTTATAAGGGGTTTCTAGCACTTGACTAAAAGGAAACTCTATAGTCAAAAAGTGACCAGACTTTGTAATAGGTAATGGATAAATTTAAGTACATGGAAACTTACACAGATATTATATTCTGTCATCATATTCTAGAGGACAGCAGACTGAACTGGCAAATCAGATACAGCTGACAAAGCCATGTAACCAGTAGTGAATCATCTTAATCTGATGGATGGAAAAAGGAGGTGCACATGACTTCCTTTATACATGCAGGAGCTAATCGCCAGGGCCGTTGCTGTGTCAGTATCTTTAATGTTTTATCTGTGATGTTGGCTCACAGCACTCTAGGATCTGCAGTTTCTGCATGTTGTAGCACCTGATAGAAGACGCTCTTTAGGCTGCCTTGGGCTGCCAGGCTGTATCCAGTTTACACAGAGGAAGGAACTTCCGCATAAACAGGAGCACAGAGAGGATCACTAAACCAGTGCTAACTTATGGAAGATGTGCAGGAAAAAGGAGTTCAAAATGTGCCAGAGAAACTGTTGAGGGAGTAAGCTATGTTTGTGTATTTGGTAGGAGACTATATAGAAGGTAGTCTGTTGACTGAAAAATAAAGGACTGAAATACAGAGGCTTATAACAGACACCCTAGGGTCTGAGCTCTCCAATCCATGGAAGTTACAGGGAAGGCTTTCCAAGCGGTAAGGCACCGCCAAGATGCCTACCTGCATCTAACTGCAGCAAGCAGAGTATCAGATGCAGAACAGTTCCTGGAGCACAGTCTGAAGTCCAGATCATGGATTCGTGAGCTGACCGTGTGAAATGGTGAATAAGGAAGCTTTTAAAGAGCAGGTCATCCCAGAACAGTCCACTAAGCGAGTTATCCCTTCTAACAAATATTCTGTGGGCACT